TCCATTCGATTTTCACAGCTACGAGATGAGTTTGCACGTCGAAATTGTGGAACTGCGTGCGAATTTGTTTTCGTTGGACTTTTATACGCGAGAATTGAATCCATCGTTCTGTCGAGGATTTAATCTGTTGGATTAATGACGGAAGCAAAAGTGAAAGTTTTTGAGAGACGAATGGTTGGAAAGGAAAATTCTCGAGTTGAGAGATAAACCATTGCTCTTCGCGATCGAGATATATAAATCCCTTCGTACAACGAGTGGGTTACTTTAATGAATCCAATTTTTTTCACAAACGTGAATCGTTAGAAGAAATTCTTACAATTCGAACGCAACTTTCATTCGAAACGAGTTAAATGAATTCCTCCTCCCTCCCCTCCACGTGCGAGAGGATCGATTAGCTCGCTTTATTTTTAAATTAATCCCGCTCTTGAACGAGAGCGAAGGGAAATGAGAAAGAAGGAATGAAAAGAGCGAAGAAGGGCAAACAGTGGAGGGAAAAAGAGCCCAATTCCTCTCACGTAACCGTTCACTGGTGGAACGAAAACAAGTGGAAACGGAGAGGAAGGTGAAAATCCGCACGACTCTCGTTTCGTTTCGTTAGGGCGAGGAGAGAGGTTAATGATTCGTAGGGAAATTTCGTGATACGCGGCGATAAGTCTGTCAGAGAGTTTAATCTAGAGTGATTAAAAGGTGAGAGAAATAAATATCCGTGCGATCGTCCATACCGGTTTCCCTCCGATGAATTATGCTATATCATTGGTTTTCGTCGTCTATATTTATATGTATATATATATATAAATTTTATTATTCGTCTCTTCTTTTTTTTTTTATCATATACGTGATCTGTGATGGCATTTTGACGAATTAATGAGTGTCCATTATTCTTGAAAATTTTGGATGGACGTATGATATATACTAGGGAAATTTTATTTGATATTAGAAATTAAGATCAATGGGGAGGTGAGTTATTTCTTGAGATCATTTTGGAAAGAATCTTGTTGTTTCGTAAGTTCATATATTTCTAAATTTAAATATTTTTGTAAGTTTTAATGTTAAATAATACATTGGTCTTTTTTATCTATATGATTAATTTTATGAGAGAGTATAGTATAACTCTTTCACGATATTTTTAATTAAATTTCGTATAATTTTTTTCAATTTTACACAGAAAAATTGCACCTAATCAAATCACAAAGTTCTGATGAACTGTATTACTTCTCGTGTATATCCATTCAAACACAGATGATGCATTAATATAATTCTCTCTATCTCTAATTTTCTCGTAATTTATATTCAACTACAAAACACGTGAAAGTTAACTGAAACGCATTTGAATGTCGTTTAATAAAAAAAAAAAAAATAATAATTCACGAATAGTCCACGACGCGATATTCACGGATTTTTGATGGACAGAATAACGATGAAATCTGTCGAATTTGCCAGTAGCTAGTGGGAAATAGTCATCTCTATTTTAGTTGAGTCGTTAAATCAAACCTTAACGCTTCTGGCTCCCGGGCAATTTCGATCGTTGCCACGAGTTTTTTTCGCATTTATAGGGGATTTTTCAACTTTTCTCGCAAAAAGCACTTCAATGTACCACCACGGCACAGAAATGACGACACATCGCCTGCGTACATTCGTCATTTTTCAAATGAAAATTTTGTTTCACTTAGCTACCTGTATCGAATACAACAAAGTTCTCTCGAACGAGATTTGGAAAGGGGAAGGGCTGGTGTAATATTTATCAACATATTAGCGAGTTTTGAATAAACAGGGAACGATTATTATTCATTCTTTGACACAGTTTCCGCTGCGACGAAATATGTTTGCTTCATGGAATTATCGAATTTCTATACGGGCATCTCTCGTGTCGTGCATAATTCAGTTTGAAAAATATTTCGAATAAACATTTATCGAGGGAGGGGGAAATTTTTAACGGTGTATCCGATGGAATTCGAAAAAATTCTTTCGATTCTGGAATATCTATTTTTGAACATTTTTTTTTTTTTTTTTTT